AAAATATCCGGGGGCAGGAGGGGCCATCCCGGCTCTGGAACTGAGCGTGTGAGCCCAGAGGCCTCGAATGGAGCCCAAGCTCTGCTGGAGGTGAGAGCGAGCGGGAGAGGAGGACAGAAAACTAACTTAAAGCAGTCCCTTGTGCCTTGCAGCGAGGAAAATGTGTGGAAGCTCTGCGACTACATCCGAAGCCGGCAGCGGTACCCGCTGGARGAATTCTACGCGGTTTTCATCTCCAACGAGAGGCGGATGGTGAGTCCGGCTTAACGGCAGCGCTGGAGGCRCGTGCGGCCTCYGAGGCCTCGCGGTGCCYGGGCAGCCGGCCCGGCCTGGGGCCTCCGGACCACCCTGCGTTTATCCATATTTGTGATCCATGTTTATCCAATGCATTTGGAGTTGCTTGTAAGACAACATGCCTTCCCTGTAACCCGCCAGTTTAGGAGAATGATGTATTTATGTGGTCCAAAAACATCAAAACTGTTTGATTTCTTTTATTATTATTGATTTTCTCTCTGCATCACAGATATAAGCAGCTGAGATGTGTCAGCTGGCAAAGGACTGCTTGTGTTMATCTTTGCTCAAAATTACTTATGACTTTCAGATTCCCCTATGGAAGCAGAAGTCTGGACACGGAGATGAGCCAGTTGTCTGGGTAAAGTAGTTTGTTCTTTATGTGATTTTTTTTTATAGGGTCTTCAAGTGTTTTGTGCTATGTCAAGTGCTTCCCTAACTGACTTCTGCAATATCAAGCACGGGCAATGTTAGCCATATTTTTTTTTAACAAACTACAGTTCTGTATTAATGGCACAATGCCATTATTTGTTTTTCTGCAACAGATCCGTAAGCCCTGTAAACGAGGTCTCCTTTTTAATGCTTGTAGTAATAGTATAACTCAAAATCTACATGTGGAGAACATTGGTAAAAATGCCATACAAGCCTGTGAAACTTATTTTGCATGTATTTCTGAAGCCATCAAATTTGCAGAATTCAAAGGAAGAGGTGTTTATTTTTTTTTAAGTGAATGAATGAAAATACCTCTCTACACTTGGCATAGGACAAACAAATGCAAACAATACATCAGGTATCARTGYATAAATTGATCCTAGGTGGTGGCTTTATAGTGTTATTTGTAATGAACTTAGTTCAGTAATTACCATTGTAGAATTCCTTTTAAATATATCTATATTTTTTTTTAGTTATTCTGTTAATGCAGAAGCATTCTTCTAGTTYGATGTTATTTCTGTAGATCAGGAGTTGAAGGTTAGTTTTGGATTTATGCTGCAATTCTCAGCACTTTTAGACACATGATATGCATCATGCCAGAAATGAGAAGGATATTTTTTTTTTTKGAAAAAAAATATGACAAAGTGCTTGAGTCTTTTAAATCACTTCAAGAGTAATTAATTCTGTTTCAAAATGTTGGTGTATTTATAAAGGAGGAAAAAAAAAAGGCCTGTCAGAATAACTTGCCCAAGATTTTTTTCATTCTAATGCCATCATGGTCAGCGTTGTTCAGCGTTGAGAATGTGGGTGGATTCAATGTAATTCTGCAAAGCAACAGCGCGAGTAACTTGCACCAAAGCAAAAGTAATTCCAGTTTCTCCAGACCTGGAAGGACTCTTTGCTATACCTAGATTTGTTATAGGTTAGGGACTAAAATTGCTTCTCAGAGCTTAAGTGTCAAGGCAAAGCAGTGCCATATAGTACCTATGGGCTTTTTTTTTTTTTCCAGAAATTTATCTTATTTCTGCAGTCCAAAATTTATATTTTTTCTTTTTTAGAGTTGCAGCTGCTTTTTCAGCTGATTCTGACAACTGAACACCATGCCCTCAAATTCCCAACTGATGTTATTACAGCATGTAAACATCTCTTATTAAAAGAAGCTGCTAGGTAATTGTAATGTTAACATATCATATATTGCTGTGAGCTTTTACTTAGAAGTAGAACTAAGCCAGAAATGCATCATTCCACTCAAATTCTTACTGTATTTTGGCGCAGGATGTGAAGGGGACATCTCTGCTCTTTTCTTGAGGATAGTGTACACTTCAGTTTGGCTGTGTAGTTTTAAATCAGAAGAGATCCCTAGAAAACAGGGAGAATATCAGGGGTTGTGAAAGAAACATTGGGTGAGGTAGGGCAGGACATTAGATTTAAAGAACAGGAGCTACAAATTTTGATTTTAGGAAACATATTTCTGTTCCCTTTCCTTATTTCTCATTAGCAACTGTTTTTCTAATAGCCATTATCTTTCCTCTCAGGACTACCATGTTATTTTGCTTCATGTTTCGAGTGGSGAGCAGAACTTCATCTATGACCTGGACACGGTGCTGCCCTTTCCGTGCCCCTTTGAGGTGTACGGTGAGGAAGCCTTCAGGCTGGATGAAGGCCTTCGCCCAGAGTTTCACAGGTGAAGAGAGAAGATAAAGAACAGTAATGTTAACTTAAATCTGGGCTTCACGGACTGTCTTTATTGATCCACAATAACAAAGATGTGTTCTTTTTTTTTTTTTATACTCCAGGAAATGAAATCCACTCCATTTCTAGAGCTCTTAGAGTTGCCTTCATTTAGTCATCAGAAGCCCTTTTCTTTTCTGCCATGCTTTCCTGTTAACCATTCCGCTGCTTGGCAGAGTAGTTTTGATTGACTTGCTTAGCTAAGTCAGTGCCCTTTGTGAGGAAGAATGGACTCTTGTTGTGCATGACATACTTAATTATCGCCAACTTCTGACAGCATTTTAGTGTTTAGGAAAATCAGACTGATTCGAGCAGATTTGTACCTGAGGACATTTGCTTCAGACCGTTCTCATATGAAAGATGCCAATGGCAAGTGGCAGAAACCTCCTCCTTCCTACCCTTGCATTGAAACTGCAGGTAAGGGGCTGGAACTCCATCTGGACTTGATAATTTTCCCTTTTTCCTTTTTGTGAGATCAATGATACAGTCAAAGATGTGCCTGAGAGGCAAGTATGCTTCTATGACCCATCTCAGAGCACCTCCAGCTAGCTCATTACTGCATGTGAAAATGTAGTATGTGATGTGCACCATTTGGTATTTCCTCTTGTGAGTATGTGAAGTCTAGCAAGCCTCCTGGCACTTACCATTATCCAACACTAAATATTAATCTTCATAAGCTGAGCAGAGAAGGAGGAGTGAGAACTGTTCTCTCTGTGTAACCAGCAACTGAAGCAAGATCATGTAACCTGCTCAGGGTCCCAGAGTGRTGTTTTTGCACACTAAGTGCAGTATGCTTTAGTTGGCAGGTCCAATTCTTGCAGAGTAAATTATTTTGACAGAATTAAGGCGTTTTTGGCTCAGTTTAATGTTCTAGGCTTGTCCGTGTTTGAGGTGTTTAATTCAGGTGACTGGTTCTCAAGATGCTGCTAAGGCCAAGTGGCAAGTTGTCAAACTTTGCATCAAGCTTTAGGGCCTCTTGTAAGTAATAATACAGCCCCAGCACTGAATAGCTGCTATCTCTTCTACAAAAATTCCTAGATCATTCTTACCATGCAGTATTTCAGTTTCTTCTAGACGTGTGTTGGGCAATCTGGCTAACATTTGCCATGTGTTTATTTGTTCTTTGATTTTCCTTACAGATAGAGAAAAGGATAGTGAAATTTCTTCTTGTTATTGCTGTGCATGTTTTTGCTATGTTTTTAATAAGAGTAATGCTGTATATTTGTGTTCAATAAGGTAGGGTCAAAGAGACACATTTTCTATTTAGATTCAGGATTGTGAAGCTCACTGGGGTTTAGTTGCAGGGAAGTTGATGCTTAATCTTTGCCCTGACCTTGAAAAGATCCAGGGTTTCACATTAGGATGAAAATAAGTGTTGAATGTGGGTCCCTACAGAGATGAAGTTTTCACTGTGAAGCTYTTGATGATTTTTTTAGATATTTTGGTTGTGAAGCACCTTAAGTTACAGGTCTTGGTCCTCATCTTCAGGGCTTTTTGTATGCAAAGCTAATGTAGCAAGTGGAGGTTGCCTGAACTGCAATGTGTGGTTGACTTAGCAGGAGCTTTGTAGATACTGAAGGTTTCTTACCTGATGATGCCTTTACTGTGGAAAGAGTCAAGAACTAATAAGTTTGATGTCAGACCATCATGTACCAGGAAGAGGAAACTTTTAGTCAAGTCAAAATGTAGCAGAAAACATTCCTTGCAGACACTAAGGATCAGAATGACTGAAAAGCTTGAAGATGTATAGATGCACCTCTAGCTACAATGAATGCTCTGTGGTTAGAAAAACCCTTTGGCTCTCCCCTGATGTCTCTTGCTTGGTTGAGCTCTGCCTCACAGCCAGAGCATCTCAGACACTCCCCAAATCGTCTTTGTTGTTGATCATGGTAGATACATAGACCCTCATTCCTCCTGTGTTTTGTTTTTTTTCACTCTCTGCCCTGCTGCATGGGTCAGACCAGAGAATCATGAAGCCCTTGAGGTTGGAAGGGACCTTCTTAGGTCTTCCAGTCCAGTCCCCTGCTCAAATTGGGTCAAAGGAGGTAAGATTGCTCATGGCCACATCCAATTGAGTGTTAAACCACCTCCATGGATGGAGAGCCCACAACCTCTCTGCACAATCTGCTCTGGTATTTGACCATCTTCAAGATAATTTTCCCATCCTGATATTTAATTGGAATTTACTGTGTTCCAGCTTGTGTCTGTTGCTCCTTGTCCTGCCATCAGGCACCCTCAGGAAGACTCGTCTTCTCTGTATCCTCTGATCAGCTAGCAGTGATTAGCCAAAAGATTGCTCTCAGTCCCCTCTTTTTGAGGCTCTGCAGGTCTGTTTATTCCCTGAGCTTCTCCTGTGCCATGGTCTCTAGTGCCTTCTTGGTGCCCTCTGCTGGACTCCATCCCCAATGTCAGTGTCTGCCTTGGACTGGGGAGCCCAGAACTGGTCTCAGAGGTGCAGCTCTGTGATGAGATGCTCCCAGCTCTGTGCTGATATTGCAAAGGAGAGTAACTGTCCACCCTGCACCACTGTTGGTGCTTCAACCAAGTAGCTTCATGGTTTCTATCACAGCAGAAAGATCTAAGATGATATTTCAGTGCTGATTTCTCAAGCTTTGTTTTAGCTTGTCTTTGATCACTTGAGGCTTTTGGTACCGCTCTGTGCCCCAATGCTGCAAGTCACTGAGAGGTCTGGGTTTTGCTGTTACACAACTTGCATGTGCCTAAATTTTGGCTGAATCTGGGCCTTGTGCTTAGTAATGCAGGCCCAGATGCCAGCAGGAATCGCAGCACCCTCCCAGCAGCAGGTAGATTTAGAGAGCAGCCCTGCCAGCAAGTGGAGCTGGTCGTTCTCTCTCTTTAGAGACCAAGTTAAACTAGTGTCTTGGCATGGTTTGAACAACCATGAAAATGCCTTATTTTAAACTTGCTGGAAAACTGGACCCCTTGTTCTTGTAAGGGAGCCTGGGGGATTAATTTTCACATCCATGCCAAATTCCATTACAGMTGGCGACTTCCTCCAGTTTCAAATAGATAAGGCACTTTTTTTTCCGTCTTAATTTGTGTTTGCCTAAGGTTAAATTACTCACATACTTCATGTTAGAAGTGACTGCARTTTAATGGCTTGAAGAATGGACTGACATATATTGCTTTAATATTATCTTATTTGTGAGACATTTAGATCAGAGTTACATTTTTCATTATCATTGTTACATTGCAGTCATTTTGAGCMCCGAAATTCTTAACGTTCTTGAATATAATTACAAAAGCATACAAACTTTACCTTTATTTATATGACTCTGAAAATAATMGTCTTTTTCTAAGTATGAATGCTGGGCTGTTACAAAAAAATGTGAGCTCTTTGTGTTTAATCATCTCTAGTACTGCTGCATCGCYWCCATTTGTGTGTTAGTTGCACTTAYACTCTTCCTATCCTATGGACTTTGAAAGCTTTAAGTAAAATTGATAATCCAGATGTTTGTCCTTGATACTGGAATGTTGCCTCTTCCCGAGCAGCTGCTGAGCCAGAATGCAGCACTTCAGATAAAGAGATCCTGTATTATCCAAGTCAAATAAAAGTTGAATAGAATCATAGAATAATGTAATTACCCAAGATGGAGTTGGGGCAGGATACTGGTACTGATGGTGATTTTTGTCGTGATTATTATTAATGAAAATATATCAGAGACTATCTTTTGGAATTAAATCAAGGAACCTCTGTCAGTAACTAATGAAGCTTTTTCCCAAATATTACCCCAAAAAGGAACAATTCCTAAATTGATCATGTTGCTCATTATATTGCAAAATAAACGTTTTAAAACAAGCCTGTCTTGAGGCATGAGTCCACCTTTTTTTTTTTTTTTAATTTCTTGCAAGCACCTTAGCCTTATTAAAAATAAATATAAACCTTCCATCACATTGGATGCTTGGATGCTAGGATGTTTAGCTAAGTCTGGGGAGACCCCCAAGTTCTCCGGGGCCCCCAGGTTAGGCTGCTGCATGTTAGAGCTGAGCTTTGTGGCTCTGATTCAGACCTGCTGAGCACAGCCGCCCTTTAGGCAGCTCTTGTTGGGCAGCGTTAGTCTGAAGTCTGAAATGTTGCTTTTGAACTGCCCTTGGCAGAAGCCACGTGTATCAGCGCTGCTAATGTCCTCTGGTAGTGCCGGGCCCTTCATTTTGTCCCTGCTCAGGGCAAAGGTGGCCTCATAAAAAGAAGGGAAAAAAAAAAAATGGTAAGAATACCAGAATGCATCACCTGGGTCTCCTTAGCAGTGTGCTTGTAGCAAAGGCGTTTTGTATTCACCAGAGGGCCTCGAGTATAAGGTAAATCTTCAAAAAAAAGAAAAAAAAAATTCTGTTGTTCCTGACCTTGCATAAGTCTTATGTGGTGAATATTCCTCCTGGGCTCTTGTAGAGAAATCCACTGGATTTGTGCACAGTATCCAAATGTCCCTTGTAAATTGAACTGTTCTAACTTTCTGTTGGCTTCCRAGAATGGACTTGTTTGTGGTGTTCTCGGGCATTTTTCCTAGCAGTTTCCTAAAGCTGTAAGGTCCAATATAATAGTGAGAAGGTAATATTCAGATTCAGTATGTGAACAATGAGTGGCACAGGTTGGTCTTATCTCTTCAGTTCAGTGCAGTGTGAGAGGTCTCTTAGAGGCTGTTTTTCCCCCTGTTTTAATGGATGATTCCTCAGCTGCTGTGCTSCTTCAGTGCCATCTACTGACTGCTTCCTAGACCAGCTGCTCTTCATGCAAAAGCTYGTGTTGGCTTTTTACAGATGGTTTTTCCTTTCATTAGACTTTTTTGATGGACCCTCTCATGCTCTGTCACAGTCTTGCTGAATTTAAAAGAATATTTTACTTCTTCCAGGCATCGTGATAGCAGCTTTCATGTCAGTAACAACAATAGCCGTTTTGTAACTGTTGAAATGACCCCTTGGGGCTTCTTCACCATTCGTGGTGTGTTCCTATGAAATTATTATTCCACTATATGCAGTGCACATAAAGCAGGGACTTGCCCTTCCCTTCACRTCTTAAAGTGCATGCATGATGACATCAATTTTAAAACAAAAGCATTGGGGAAGAAAAAACAACTCGCGGATTGGAAAAGGCACTGGGCATCCCTCCCCTTCAAGCAGCAGCAGCAGTTTCCCCTCTCCTGCTGCCCTGGATCTGCAGCGTCGGTGCCCGTGTGGCACTGAGCTCCCCACCTAGTGAAGCGGGTGGCCTGGCCCTGTGCTGCCTGACTCKCTTTAGCAGGAGGACTTGGGTGGGACACAAGTGTGAAGCTTGGAAAATAAAAGGAAAACAATTGATTTGGGTGTCTGAGCAGTGGTGTGAGGCTGATCCCAAAGCCATAGGATAATGTATGTGATGCAGAGGAGAGAGCTCCGGGGGGCAGGATTACACAGGGGACTGCTTGGGTATAGGATTCCTGAACATGCTTTTCCCATCCTATTAAGCTCTCCGAAATGGTAAACTAAGTTACACAAGTGGTTTGTGGCTGAAGCAATTTCTACCCCTATGAAATTTCTAATCCATTCATTAGACCCTACTCTGGTTTGGTTCTTAATCCTTACATGTGCACATGAGTCATCCAYGTTAAAATAAATACAGCATAAAAGCTTAACTGTAAATCCCTTGGCTCTCCCCGTCTGTTCTCTAAACTCATCCTCTTTCAGTTTTCTTTTAATGAGTATTAAAAATTATTTGTGTGGCTCATCAGTGGTAACATGAACCAAGAAGCCCCCAGCTGTAGTTGGCACTGGCTAAACTCAGTGCTCGCAGCCCTCTGAGCGGGCCGAGTTGGAGCCAGGAGCACAGCAAAGTGGCCTTGGCTTCTGTCTGCCCCTGCTGCCCTCATTGCTCAGGGTCCTTGTAGCCACTGCAGAAGGTCTGTGCCTCAGTCCAGACCTTTAAGGGAGCAACATCTGCCTTTCCCCTGAGTAACTACATCTGTGTGAGCAGAGAGAGGCCCCGGGACTCAGACTGAGTGCTGTGCRTTTTGATCTGTACTGTCAAAGCAACTTGAACTTCCTTCCTGTGAGGGTGCCAGAGCCCTGGCACAGGCTGCCCAGGGAGGCTGTGGAATTCCTTCTCTGGAAATCTCCAAACCCGCCTGGATGCCACCCTGTGCTCTGGGTGTCCCTGCTGGAGCAGGGGGTTGGACTAAATGATCTCTAGAGGTCCCTTCCAACCTCAGCCATTCTGTGGCTCTGTGATTTCATTGAAAGATATTTACCTGTGCTGCYGATGCTGGCTCAGCAAACTGAACATCTCCCTTTCTTGTTCCTTCTTTAGACTCCAAGATGAACTTGGATGATTTCATCAGCATGAATCCCARCGTCGGATGGGGCTCCGTGTTGCCCCTTGCGGACTTTGTGCGTCGCTTTGGCAGACAGACTGATTCCCACTGCTCCTTGGGAGGACCCTGAGGGAACCAGAGAAGGTTTCTCTGCTATTACTATGTTCATGTGTTTTGCTGCTCCTGTGTTGTATTTATCGATCATTTACATTTCTTCACATGGAATAAGTATTTGGGCAAATAGAGTATCTGGTCAGGAATATCATAAACTGAATAAAAAACCTTTATTTTGATTATGTAAGAATAAGTATTATTTAATAAATCAAAGGCAGTCATCCCACAGTAAGCATATTTCCATCTACTGTGCTCAACTTGAAAAGAACATTTAAATGCTGTAAGAAAAACTCTCAGAAAAATATACGCATGAACTATGGAGCAGTGTAGCTCCAGTTGCTAAATATCACTGCATTTTAGACAGGAGATAAAGAATGTTTTCTTTAAATTTGTTTTTTCCTGCCTTTTAGCTCCTTGGAGCAGCTTGCCAGGAGGTCACGTACATAAGGGGCAGCAGCAGGAACATATGGCCGGGGGGAAGGGACTGCCCCCTATGTGGGGGCTGGATGGGCTTAGTGCAGTACTAGGCTGCAGCCCTGCCTGGAGCTGTTGTGGGGATGAGGGATTTGGAGCCTGGGGTCTGCGCTCTCCTAGGAGTGCCCTGAGCATGGGATTATCGKAATAATCTGAGTGATTCATTCCCTCTTTTGGAGCTGTTCTGTTTTAGGGATTATCATATCACAGGATCTCGGAAATGCAGAATAATTCAGGCCTCACTGGAACCTGGGAGGTCTCTAGTCCAATCTCCAGCTCAAATCAGGGTCAGCTCTGAGATCAGATTGAGCTGGTTAGGGATTTATCYAGTTGGGTCCTGAAACCTCCAAGGATGGAGAGTGATTTTTTTTTTTCAAGGAAACCTTTGTGATGGACTTGGTCGTGGTGAGGAAAAGCACAGTAATGATCTTAAGAGTTAAAAGATCCTTTTATTTCTAGACAGAGAAATGCAAAAGCTTCCAAAATATTTATGTGATAGTCTTATTCTACACATACATTATTTCTATGTGTATATTACACCGTATCTCACATCAATTGCAGAGAATTTACCCTGTGTGGTGACAGGAAGGTGAAGGCTTGGAGGACTGACTCGCTGAGCTGGACCCAGCTCGGAAGGGAATCCGGGTGAAAGGAGGGCTCTTCCTCCAGCTCTTTTGGGTGAGGCCCATACTTGGAGCAAGTGGAGGGACTGGTTTTTACTGTGTTTCACTGTTGCTCAGCCGTGCGGAGGCTCTGCCAGCTGCAAACCCCACGGTAGGAATTTGCCTAAGGGGATTTATAGGGAGGAACATTGTCCAGGACATTGCACTTGCTCCCGAGGAGAGACAGCAGTGGGAATTTACAGGGCTGCATTTTGCATGATGTAATTGCATCAAGTCCCTTTTATTCTTCAAGTAAATAATTGCATTTCATATATGCTAGTATGTATGTGTAATTATACATTGCTCAGCAGAACCTTTAAACTGTTATGGGGCATCAAGTCCCATACTCCCTAGTTGTTTTTTTCTATGCTCCAGATTTGAGTTGGTTCTTTGATTTAAACATAGTGCATCCTGCACCTGGATTCTGGCTGTAGAAGCTCATGACAGTGGCAAGGGCTGGATATTACAGTTTACCTGTTTGAATACAGTTGAGGGATTGAAGTTGCAAGGACAGTCACAGAGTCCACAGTTGAAAAATAATGCGGAGAAACCTTCCTTTTGCTCTCTAGTCCCTCTGAACAGGTGCTTAATTTTACCCTTAATTGAATTTAACTAATTTTAGCCCTTAGAAAGCAGTGGCATTCCGGAGGGGTAGATGAAGGCCAAAGAACAACTTTCATTCAGCAGTGAGAGTGTTGCTGTCGTGGTGCCATCTCTGTCCGTAGCCCTCGAAGCCTGCAGGCATTTTGGAATACATGATTGGAAAAGCCGACTCGAGAAGCACAACAGAACGACAGAATGGTTGAGGTTGGAAGGGACACCATGATGTTACAGCCCCTCTGACTTCGCCTCTACTGCTCCCCAAGCCCCTTTCCCTTGGAGACACTTGGTGTTGGAGTGTCCGACACTGGCGGCCACCCCGGGGTTTGACCTGCAGCGCGAGGGGCGCGTGAGCGGCAGACMGGAGAGCAGAGTCTGTGCTCAGGGTTTGTGCCGCCCATTTACCTGCCTTTGCGCAATGATTCCTTGTGCAGCTTGGCTTCCCAGGCCCTTTCAAGGGGCCTTGTCCCCATGGAATCCGTCTGCCTTTCCAACTATTACTGCAGTATTTAAGTGCTTTACGTGGCACTGGCAGCCACTGTTTGGACAAGGTTTCCCTAGAGCTGGGCCTGGAGCAGAGGCAGAAGAACCCCCTGCCCTCGCAACCCCCTTTTGTCTTGGCTAACCTACATATTCCCTTGGTCCCTGCAATTTTGCCAAGACTTTTGCTATCAGAAATGAGAGCGCAGCATCCAGAGAGCTTTTCCTTCACGTTGAGGGCATCCTGTCTTCCCGCTGGTGCCACTGGCTTCCATAAAGCTATCAATGCAGTGAAACACTGCATGGATAGGAGATCCATGTCTCTCTCGCCCTTTTCTCCTCTGTGCTTGTTCTTTTTAGCTGGGGATAGAATGTATGTAATTCTGAGCTAACTGCTTTTATGGCCCCTTTCAGACCTTAGGAGAAAAAAAAAAAMCAAAACCACTCTGCTTTTCTGGCTGGCATTTGCTTGGTCAATGTATTTCTGCAAACTTACAACCAACCAGGTGTGTCTTGCTAAAATTCCATTTTTCAAGTGGCCAGCAGAGAGAGCAGTCAGCACTGGTATGGACTCCGCAGCCTGCAGCCCTTTCGCCAGAGGCTCCATCCCTGTACACTCTGTTGCAGTTAAAAACACTTTTTTATTTTTATTTTTATTTTTGCAGAGGTGATCGTGTCCTGCAAGACTGCAGCTGGTGGGTGGTGGATTGTCTCTAAGGTCAATGCGTGTTCTTCCCAAACATTCTCAAACCACCACCTATATTGTTGGGATCTGTTCAGCATTCACAGCTCCTGTCCAAAGGAGTATGTGGCACCTTAGAAAATCAGACTAATTGCTTCACTATCAACATCTGGATTTCGGCAGTTAATTTTAGGCACCCAGGTGCCTGCAAGGTGATCTGCAGGCTGCTGTTCCCAGAGTGGCAGGGAGGCCCGGRGTGCATTTGTATGAATGAGGATCAGAGCCTGAGTCGGAACGTTTTGACCTGAGCAAACTTCCCTATTTAT